GCTGTGCTCTCGTGTCTGGTGTCGTCAGTTTTTATTAGGAAAGCAGAGGGACTGGCAGGAACACCAGGGATTTCAAACAAAGGAAGCAATACAAAGAGAACAGGATGCTTTTTCATACAAGTACATGGTACAGCAGGCACATGCATATGAAATGTTGGGTTTACATATTCTTTAACATAAAAGCTGAAGCTACCACAATGCTGCACAGATAGTTTAGTAGCGCCAAAACATTGTTTTTCCACTGTATTTCTTGAAGAGATTGGCTACGCGTTCTTCATACCAGCCTTTGTCGAACTGAAGTGGGCCATCAGGTCTAAGCCGACAGAGTCCGACAGAGACTCATGTGGGAGGGAGTCTTTTTCTAGTGCAGAGTTCGACTGACTCTCGATGTGTGAAGAACAGTCAACTCTCTGTGCATCGAGCATTACAGAGAACATGTGGCCCCAACAGTGTTTTACCCCTTACAAGTGAGTAAACATCTGGCAACTTTCGTTAATTTATTTGTGCAGCATTATGCCTGCATTGGTTCAGTACATTCTGCAATGAATAAAAAAAAAATCAGTGTTCTGAATAAAAATAACATGGTGAGAAAAAAAAAGCTGTCCACCTTTTTCAGTTTGGTCAGCAAAAACCCAAATCAGAATGTATGTTTGGTTAAACTATATTCACTATGTTGCTTGCCTTAAAGTAGAACTAAAGGCAAAACTTTTTTCCTCCATTTTGGATAAAAAAAAAGGGAGGGTTATAACCCCTGTCAGTTTTTTTGTTTTTTTTTTTTTTTCTTTTTAAACCACCTGTGTCCCAATGGGGAGATTAGCCTTCACGTCCTGTCCCGTAGCCAAAACTGGAAGTGAAAGAAAAGTCTGAGAAAAAAACCCTGCAAATTAACAGAAACCCTTGTTTCCTCCGGCTGGCCGAACAAATCCGTAATCTGCTTTTGATTGGCTTTCCTTTATTGTAAATTGGAAGCAATGACCGGACATCACTTCTGGTTTACTCTGAAACTTTTGGCGCCGTTTTTAAAAATCTGAAAGCATTCAAAAACACCTGATCTTGGTGTTTTGAATGCTTTCAAGTGCAGAGGAGGGTTTTGGATTTGAGGTCTTCGACTCGTGCCCCCTACCCAGATATGCAAAATCACGTGTGTGTGTGTATATACGTGATTTTGCGCACCCGTGCCACCCTGTAGCAGTATTTCTGCTATAAGACGGTTGGGAAGAGGTTAAAGTGTGACATGTTTGGTATTTACTTGGCATAACATTATCTTTTATATTCTACAAACAATCGGGTAATGTATTGTGTTTTTTTTCTTTGCAATAAAAATAAAGTATATTTTTCCCCCAAAAAAATTTAATTTGAAAAACTGCCGCGCAAATATCTTGTGACGCAAAAAAATGCAAAATCCACCAATTTGTTCTCCTAAGGCCTCTGCTTTAAAAATTATATGTATATAATATTTGGGGGTGCTAAGACATTAAAAAGAAAAAAAAAATTACTGATTTTAAAATGTAAACAAAGTACCAGAAATTGCTTGGGGCTGAAGTGGCTAAAGTTACTATTGTTTTAATGAAACTAAAAAAATAGCTGCTGATGGGTATAAAGCGCAGACAGCTAAAGTTGCCTTTACATATCTATAGCAATTTTTAGTACCTGAATATAAGGCCATTATGATTAGGCAAAATTCCAACACTTTCCTATAGTGTCAAAGCATGCCTGCTTCCTCATGACCCACCACTGTGATAGGCTACCGTACCAGCTAAGGGCAATCTTTGACATCCTCAGGAAGTGCAGGGGCTTAGGCCAAAATGAAAAGGAAATTCAAAGTGAGAGTCACATCAATCCTTCTTTTTTTTTTTTTTTTTTTTTTTTTTTTTTGTTTTGTGACAGGAGCACATATTAAAGCTTTCTGCTTTGAAAAAAATATTCACGGTAAACTATCAATGCCCTCATGTCCCAAATTAGGCTGTACATTGCATGTTTCCTTTGTACAATTTCAACAGCATTCTGAATGTACAAGTTCACTATTCTACCAAAGTTTCTTCTCTAAAGTATTTTCTGTAGTTTTTTTGACCTAAGGATATGGGATAATGACACCAAAAAGGGTCCGGCTCTCCAAATTTTTTTTTTTTTTTTCCCAATCTGCATTTTGGACTATTTTTAAATTGTAATTCCAGAAAGTACATTATAAAAATTGTGCACCAGCACCCCCCCCCCCCCTCCTTCCCAGATGATAAATATTTAAAGTAGAACTAATGCAGGCCATACATGGGTTGAATTCCGAACAAATTTTCTTTAGAGAATCGGAAATTTTGTAATCAGATGGTGCCACCATTGATTTCGAAATTCGAACAAACAGCCTTTAATTTCACCTGGTTGCTACAGAAAAGAAGTGGCCGAGAATTCTTTCCAGGTCACACAACTCATGCTCATTTCTTTTTCTTTTTCAATTACATTTCTCACACGATTCTCCCATCATTGATTAGAAATTAATTTGTTTTTCAAAATTTCTAACATGCCTGATCACTCAAATTCAATGGTCACTGGAAAATCGGCCATTTCTGTGGCCCACTAACGGTGTGAAATTCGAACAAAATTTCTTAGAAAAGATTTTTGAAAGAAAATTCTTTTGGAATTTGACCCGTGTATGGCTGGCTTAAATCCAATTGATTTAGCAATTTCCCAAAACTGTCCAGCCCTTAAATGGCTGCTGTCATAACTGATCAAATGTTCAGCACCATGGCAACTTCAGATGAAAGGCCACGTTAGCAACTTCCTTAGCTGTAAAGGACAAGAGGGTTTAGTTACACCACTGAGTGCTAGAAGGGCAGGGCAGAAAGCGGTGACTGACATTCACCACTCTGCTCAGAGTGGACTTAAGAACCAAGCAATTGGCGGTCACCTGTTTGTTCAGCTCTCGGGCTTAGAACCAGTGGGGGGCAGCTGCAATTATGTATGTTTGTTTTGTAGGCATGTACAGTGCCTGGAAAAAGTATTTATACCCCTTGAAATTTTCCACATTTTGTCATGTTGCAACCAAAAAGTTAAATGTATTTTATTGGGCTTTAATGTGATAGACAAACATAAAGTGGCACATAATTGTGAAGTGGAAGGAAAATGATAAATGGTTTTCAAAATTTTTTACAAATATATATCTGAAAAGTGTGGTGTGCATTTGTAGTCAGCCCCCTTTACTCTGATACCCCTAACTAAAATCTAGTGGAACGAATTGCCTTCAGAAGTCACCTAATTAATAAATACAGTCCACCTGTGTGCAATTTCATCTCAGTATAAATACAGCTGTTCTGTGAAGTCCTCAGAGGTTTGTTAAAGAACATTAGTGAACAAACAGCATCATGAAGGCCAAGGAACACACCAGACAGGTCAGGAATAAAGTTGTAGAGAAGTTTGAAAGCAGGGTAAAGTTGTAAAAAAAATATCCAAAGCTTTGAACATCTCACGGAGCACTGTTCAATCCGTAATCAAAAAATTGAAAACCTACCAAGACATGGCCATCCACCTAAACTGACAGGCCAGGCAAGGAGAGCATTAATCAGAGAAGCAGTCAAGAGGCCCATGGAAACAATGGAGGAGCTGCAGAGATCCACAGCTCAGGTGGGAGAATCTGTCCACAGGACAACTTTTTAGTCGTGCACTCCACAAATGTGGTCTTTATGGAAGAGTGGCAAGAATAAAGCCATTGTTGACAGCCATAAGACGTCCCATTTGCAGTTTGAGAAGCCATGTGGGGGACACAGCAAACATGGAGGAAGGTGGTCTGGTTAGATGAGACCACAATTGAACTTTTTGGCCTAAAAGCAAAACATTATGGTGGAAAACTAACACTGCACAGCACCCTGAACACACCTCCACCGTCAAACATGGTAATGGCAGCATCTTGTTGTGGGGATGCTTTTCTTCAGCAGGGACATGGAGGCTGGTCAGAGTTGATGGGAAGATGGATGGAGCCAAATACAGGGCAATCTTAGCAGAGAACCTGTTAGAGTCTGCAAAAGACTTGAGACTGGGGAGGAGGTTCACCTTCCAGCAGGACAACGACCCTAAACATACAGCCAGAGCTATGATGGAATGGTTTAGATCAAAGCATATTCATGTGTTGGAATGGCCCAGTCAAAGTCCAGACCTAAATCCAATTGAGAATCTGTGGCAAGACTTGAAAATGGCTGTTCACAGACGCTCTCCATCCAATCTGATAAAGCTTGAGCTATTTTGCAAAGAATGGGCAAAAATGTCACTCTAGGTGTGCAAAGCTGGTCAAGACATACCCAAAAAGACTTGCAGCTGTAATTGCAGCGAAAGGTTTTTCTACAAAGTATTGACTCGGGGCTGAATACAAATGCACGCCACACTTTTCAGATATTTATTTGTAAAAAATGTTCAAAACCATTTATCATTTTCCTTCCACTTCACAATTATGTGCCACTTTGTGTTGGTCTATCACATAAAATTCCAATAAACTACATTTACGTCTCTGGTTGTAACATGACACAATGTGGGAAATTTCAAAGGGTATGAATAATTTTCAAGGCACTTTTTATATATGTATGTTCTTGGGCTTCCCACACTTCTCATTTAATGCTAGTTTGCTAGCTGGTCCCACAGCAACCAAAGCTCCAGTTCCCTTCACAGTCAGTGTGGTGCGATGGCCACAGGTCCTGGATTGTATATGATGACAATGATTAATGAGAAGCCGTGTCAAGATTTTTTTTTTTTTTTTTTCTCAAATACTTTGAACCAAAGAACTCAAAACATGTTTTCAATGTATACTTTAGGTAATCTAGCTCTAATAGTAGTTGGTAATGGCAGCTAGTCTAAAATAGAGCATTAAAAGCTGTGCATATATGCATCTATTGCTATTTGCTTAAAAACCTATTTAAAGAGATGATCACCAGTTTTCATTGACCATGTTTAACACTAACATTGAAGTTCTAACAGAGTTATCTGAAATCTGTTTACCTGCAGTAACAAAGAACAATGTCTTCATGCCATCCAGCTTCTGTCAGCCCTCCACTGGTAACTCAGACTCAGAACCAGGTAAGTTGTTTCACATCTGGTTTAGAATTAGGAGGAGTCTGGTTGATTTGTGAGAAAATGACATATGCATTAAAATGTTGGCATCTCCTTCAGACTTTGTATTGTGCATTGTGAAATGTGGGAGGATAGTTGGCATAAAGCCTTATGTTCTGTTTAATTACATGTAACTTGTGTGTAATATCTACAGCCATCTTTATGAAAATATAGAAACCAATATATTTTAATCCTACTAAATGAGATCTTTCTGAAAACTAAGCATCTGATATCTTTTTAGAGGAAAAAACCAGTGGGTTTAGGCTAAAACCGCCTACGTTAATTCATGGACAAGCTCCCAGTGCAGGTATTTATTACTTTGTGTTCTCAAATGCATGATTGCTTTAATTTTTGTAACTATATTTCTGTTCATATTCATAAACTAAATTTATAAAATACACTTTTATTTTAGTTGCTTTTATAATGTAACATTTTGAAAGCCTGTTTGAAGTCATTCAGTCACCCTTTTTTGTTTTTTTTTTTGAGAGAGAGATTTATAGTTTTAAATAATTACCAACCACACTACCCATCCAAAGCATCCTCCGCAAAATTTTGTGGTGAGGAGAAAAGGGGTGAATGTGTCTGACAAGAGCTGTTAGATGACAGTCTTTTGGGAAGCATGGTCAAACACCACTCCAGTGTCTTAAACTGCTTAGTCATACTCCGACACACCACACAACTGATTGAACAGGAAAGTAAAGGTAATTTTGAAAATTGAGCTGTTGCAGTGCCTGTCTAAATATCAGTTTATTTGACTTCAAATGCACTCTAATGCTTGGTGCAATTAACTGCTATATTGATCATCTCTGTATGGAATATCTTTTTAAAATTTGTTTTGCATATTTTAGGACTTCCTAGCCAGAAACCTAAGGAACAGCAGCGCAGTGTGCTACGTCCAGCAGTGTTACAGGCCCCACAGCCTAAGGCTTTCTCACCACAGTGTTAGTATGAATGTTGTCTAACATCTACTGCTCTTGAGATGAATTGAAATTTCTCATGAATATTCTTATGTTCTACAGTTTTTCAACAGTGGAACAAATGGCATCAGTGTGTCCTCTGAGCCATGTGCATCACCCCCAAATAAACCTATTTTAAGTGCAGCTGCCCCAACACTTACCTCTGATAAAGTAAGTTGTCTTTATTTTGAATTGTGAGCATATACTTTTTTTCATGCTTGTTTCACAACATTGTTAATATACAATAAACAGGTATTTTACTAATTCACCTTTAAAAACTTGTCATACAGTACCAAGACTTGTGGCTCTCAATGTATACATTTTGGACTATGCACTTTGGGGAAAAAAAAATCATAATTACGTTTGAAAAACAGACCCAGATAGGACAATGTTTTCCTCCTGGTTCAAATTGTGGATGAACCCTGGCTTTTCTGCAAATGGCACTGTATCAGCATTTGGCTTTAAGTACCATCAAGGAGCAGATATCTGCACTTGTGATCTGGTTCTAAATATTGCTATGTTCCCGTTCTATAAGACTTTTATACAAGATTTTTTTCATGTGGCTTTCCCACAACCCTCTGGGATCTGAATCTGTTTTTTGCAACCCTTCAAACAACACCTTTTTAACCTATCAAGGATTTTCACATTTCCACTTTTACAAAGTTGCATTGCTTATTGTCATCACCTCTGTTAGGTGAATGGCTGAGTTGGTGGTCTTATTGTGTGAAGAACCCTTTTTGGTCTTCTACAAGGATAAGGTGGTCTTGAAACTACTTTCTAAGGTAGTTTTAGCCGTTCACCTTAACCAGGAATTCAATCTACAATCTCTTCAGCCCTAATTCATCAGATGGAGATTGTCCTTCATTGCCTGATGTCTACCTTAGTGCCGGTGCTCTAACTCTTTGTCATTCCTGCAATGCTGGTTGTCCTAGCAGCAAGGCAGGTCTTGGGGGGTTGCTAACTAGGAGTTATTTTTTAGCCAGGCTTCTGAGGGAACTCACATGGCCTACAGGTAAAACGCAATTACAGATCATTTTTCAAAGCGTCACAGGTTTGTAATATCTTCACTGCGTAAGGATCAGGTTCCACCCTTTCAAGGCACACTACTAGATCTGTGAGTGCTTTTTGAGGTTTTCAGCATCTGGCTTTTTCTCAGATTTGCTAGGCTGTCACCTGGTCTTCTGTTCACACCTTCTCTACGCTTTATTTTTTTTTTTTTTGTTTTTATTTTTTTTTTTTTTACCTGGTAGCAGTTCAGGCCACATCTAATGTCAGCTTTCAGCATAAGGTTCTTCAGGCATCTCTTTGATCTGCATGCATTCCCCACTTATTTTGTTTTTTTGTGGACCTATTAGTGTTGTGGCACAAAATGCAGATTTACTCATACCTCGAATGGTCTAAAGATATTGGTGGTGTACCCCAAGGTTCACTGTTGGGACCCTATCTTTTTTTTATTTAT